TTTTATTAATATTTTTTTAATTTATTTCAATTAGTTATTTATTTTATCAATTAATTATTTTAATTGTTTTATTAATATTTTTTTAATTTATTTCAATTAGTTATTTATTACTTATTTAAATAAACAATATACATAAATAATTAACATAATTCATGAAATATTTAAATAAACAAATAAAGTATAAAATGAATAATTATATGTTAAACAAATAATATGCATAAACAATTAAAGTAATTACTTAAATAAACAATTAAATTAAATATTGATTTATTAAATTACTTATTAAATATTTAATTTAATTTTTTATTTAAATATCTCATTAATTATTTTAATTGGTTATGTATATTGTTTGTTTAATATTTAATTAAGTATTTTAATAGTTTATTTCACGTTTATTTACTTCATTTAATTATTTATATTAGTTTCTCATTTATTTTAATTGTTTATTGAATATTCAATTGTTTATTATATTTATTTCATTATTTATATTTTAAATAAAATGAAATAAAAATTTAATTATTTTACTTAAATAAACAATTTACATAATTCATGAAATATTTCTAAACAATTAAATTCAATATTAAAAAAAAAAGGTTGGCACGTTGGGCCAATCCAAACGGTTAAATCCAACACTGCCGTGAAGCTAATAAAGTTACAGTTGGACGTAACTTTACCAGGAATCTGTTTCAAGGCGGCATCCAAATAGTAATCTATCCTGCAAAATTTCAAATATTAGAACATTAGAAACATAATATCACAAAATTCAACTAACCAAACTCTAAGTAATATACGCATGAAATAACAGATAATAAAGAAAATAAATTACAAAATTAGACAATGAATTATAAAAAGAGAAAAAATAAATTATTTATTTCATAGTTTATTTTAATTCTTTATTATTTATTTCAATTCTTTATTTAATTAATTTTGATTATTTATATTTAATTACTTATTAAAATAAATTATTTTGAATAATTATATTTCCTATTAAAATATATTACTTATTTAATTACTTATTTAAATAAATTATTTTGAATATTTATTTCAATTAAGTATTAATTACATATTTTGATTATTAACATTTATTCATTATTTACATTTTTATTTTTATTTTTGGCATTCCAATTAATTATTTATTCCAATTGTTTTTCATTTATTTGTTTCAATTGTTTATTTAAATTATTTGATTTAATTATTTATATTGATTAATTATTTAAATTATTTATTGAACAAGTAAACGTAAATATTTAATTTTTATTTTAAATGTTAGAAATTTATTTCAATT